GAAACTGATACTATAGTAGAGGTAAAATGAGCTTCAGTCGTACCTTGATGAGAGTTATTTTCGGTTAGGAATCACGGACCTCCACAGTGGTATGATATTGTCCACTTTGAGCTTAGGCTCTGATGGGTTTACTTTTGGTTTCCTCAAAAGGCCTCGTACCAATGGAGATGTATTCCTTATAAATCCATGATCATTCCCTAAATTAGCCAATGTGGGACTCTCTCCCAACATTCCTCAATAATCCTCTCCTCGAACAAAGTACACTATAGAGCCTCCCTTGAGGCCTATGGAGCCCTTGAACAGCCTCCTCTTAATCGAGACTCAACTCTTTCTCTGGAGTCCTCGAACAATGTACACCATTTGTTCGACACTAAGTCACTTTTGACTACACTTTCGAGGCTCACAACTTCTTTGTTCGACATTTGAGGATTCTATTGACATGACTAAATTAAAGGCAGGACTCTTGATACCATGTTAGGAATCACAGAGTTCCACAGTAGTATGATATCAATATTTTCTTTGTCAATATATATCATCATCTTCATTACTTTCGGGAAATGCATAATGTAGTTGGACAACTTGCTAGTTTTTTAGCTTTAATATATAAGTGAAGTGTTTCGTCTGTAGGATTTCGAATTTGAAGAGCTCGAAGAGGTGTTGCAGTATTATCCTCAGGGATATCATGGAGTTGACAAAGAAGGCAGGCCAGTTTACATAGAGAGACTTGGGAAAGCCCATCCAAGTAGACTCATGCATATCACCACGATTGATCGATACTTAAAGTACCATGTGCAAGAATTTGAAAGGGCTCTACATGAAAAATTCCCTGCTTGTACAATTGCGGCTAAGAGAAGAATTTGTTCAACAACAACGATATTGGATGTGCAGGGCTTGGTACGTTGAAAACAGTCTTGAAAGGTTTATCTATTCAGTTTGCTTGAAATATAATCTTAAACACGATCACATTATTGTCTCAAAGGATATCGAAACTTTGCTTGGAATTAATATTTTTGGGTATGAAAGCTTGAAAATCCCGAACCCCACCTGATCCATTAGGAGCCAAAGTCAAACAGAATTTGCTTCTATACGTCTGACCTATTCAAGAAACGGCCAATATGTATATAATCTTAACAGGATCATCAATTGTGATATGAAAAATCATTCATTTCTCCCAACAGTGGTATCTTAAATACACAATTCCTTTTACGAAGGGTTTTTGGTTTAAATCAATTTATTGAAATTTAATATCATGGTACTAATATTTTGATTCCAGGGCATGAAAAATTTCTCCCGCGCTGCTGCAAATCTCTTAGCTGTCATGACAAAGATAGACAGCAATTATTATCCTGAGGTATCCAATTCCTTCCAAACACAAACATATCTGATCGTTTTCTCCTGTCATCTCTCATTCCCTTTTCACCTATTCCTGCAGACATTACATCGAATGTATATTGTCCATGCGGGTTCTGGTTTCAAGAAGTTTCTCTGGCCTGCTGCTCAGAAATTTCTTGATATGAAAACTGTTGCCAAGATTCAGGTATAGCTGTGGTATATTCAAGTTACATGCACTCCCTTTTCCTTATGCTGGATTAATCATCTATTTCCAATTATAGGTTCTTGATTCCAAATCGATTGGGAAGCTGCTTGAAGTCATTGATTCAGAGTATGACCATTTACACTCGCTTTATTTGAATGGTTCTTATCTTCAATTTACTTCGCTAAGATTGTTTTTCTTTCAGTCAGTTGCCAGATTTCTTAGGTGGCTCGTGTACGTGTAGTGGCGTTGAAGGCGGATGCCTTAGATCGAATAAAGGTCCTTGGAATGATCCCGATATTATGAAGGTGGGTTTTCATCATGTTTAAAACGTAGTCCGACTTTGTTAAGTAGTTTCAATTCTTTAGCACAAATTAACCTAGTCTTGTGTTTCTAGGTTGTGCATAATGCAGGAGCCACCTTTGTAAGGCAAGACACTAGAGTGGCCAAGAATGAAGCAAAATTGCACTCACGTGCTCAAATGCCTTCACTGAAGGTAACTGTTGGTTTAATGGTTTGATCTGATCCATATTTATCTCTACTCTATATTTATTTCATGTTTTAATTGTAATTTTTTTTTCATGAAAATTTCATTTCACTTGATTATTTAGACGGATCAACTAGGTACGCCATTCATAGCCTCTACTCGTGTCCTAGCTTGTCTGAGAGCTAAATTTACCTCGATTGTTTGTCTCTTGCCCTGTGCTTTCCTCAAGTTAGCTTCCGCTATTTCAAGAGTTTGCTAAGCTTCTTGTGGATCAATGCCACAAGCCTTCTCCACATCATTTACCAAAATAGTGACCTCATTGTTGCCTATTCTAGCCAAACCACCCATCACAGCCATCGTTAACCATCCATCATTATATTGCATATTATTGCATGCTGTAATTATGACGTGTATATTGTATTGATATGCATATTTTTATCTTCCATCAGGGAAGAAGTAGCGATACATCATTACCGGATTCAGGATCAGATATCGATGACCCGTACTCCCCACTGGAGCGAGCTGTCTCTTTGGTTCCTTGTTTGGCTCCGGTTCACGAAGAAGTAAGTCTTAAACCATGTAGCACATGAACTGTGAAAATGTTTTGTATATGTGGATATAAGAATTTATAATTTTTGCAGCAAAGGGCAGCTGACTCTAGTGCTTACTACAGTTGTGACGATGATGATTTCCGACCCGTTAGAACAGTAACCAAAAGTGACCAAAGAGTTGGAGGTTCTCAGGGTCCATCGCTTGAAATAATCGAGAACGGGAATTTCTCGAGCAAAGTGACATCAAACACAGAAGGTACTTGATGTGATTATGTTTCTCATTCTAATTTGCTGTAAATCAAAATCTTCACGGCTCACCTGACACTAGGATAGTAGGATTATGTGCATAATTTTCTAATTATTCTTGAATTATATCGTTCGTCGGTCAGATTTTTCTTGAATTCATTCTTTTCAGGTACTATAACTAATGAGCATGAAATTCTGAAGCAAAAACTTGAGAAAAGAAACCTTGATTCTACAGGGAGAGTTCTTATATCATTCTGGGTTAGATTGATAGCATTTCTTCGAAGTTTACAGTTTCAGTTTTGGAAAAGACAGAACAATATATATCCTTCTAACACAGTAGAACACATTACAAACAACAATGCTGCTGCTGCAATTCAAGGCGTAAACGAAGAAGATTACATCGGCCCGTGTTTACAGCGTCTCGAGAGGCTAGAAAAAATGTTTGTAGAGCTGAGCAACAAGCCTGCTAAAATTCCTTTGGAGAAAGAGCATTTGCTTACTGAATCATTGGACAGAATCAAGTTGGTTGAATTTGACCTGGAGAAAACGAAAAGGGTAAGCTTATCTTTATGTGATTAATCAGTTTCATTCTTTTGATTGATTCTTGTAGCTTAGCATTTACGTTCATTTCATTGGTTCAGACACTCCACGCTACTGTTCTAAAGCAACTTGAGGCAGGCGAGCTGCTGGAGAAATTGCGGGGGTCCCAATGCCAAGTAAGCAGCTTTTTAAAACATCTTTTTTGTTATTAGCTATTTTTGTTTTCCTTTTGAAAGACGGATTTCAAAATTTTCTTTTAAAAACAAAAAATAAACAAATGGGATCCGGCTTATAGTATAGTCAAATCCTATTAACACTTTAGGCTGTAGATTTCGGTTTTTGATGGGCTAAATTAATAAAAATACTTTAAACCTTAGCCTAGGCAAAACCTGCAAAACCTGTCTAGGTTTGACCTTCTCTGATTTTTATATTTTGTTTCAACATATACCGAATCAATCTTTTTATTTTATTTTTTATTTTTTTTAATTTCATTTTGTCATATTCTATATGATAATATATGTATGAACTTTCAAAAAAATCTCAAAATAACCTTTAAATTTTTTTTTTAAAACATTTAAATTTTCTTTACCATTAGTTTTAGTTTTGGATGGATGGAAATAGTTAATGTTTTGTTTCAAAAAAAATATATATATATATTGGATGAAACACTATGGAAGTTTTATTGATACCTTGAAAGTTTTTAAAATTTAAAATATATATTTACCAAATGGGATCGGGCTTATAGTATAGTCAAATCTAACACTTTAGGCTTTAGATTTTGGTTTTTTAATGGGCTAAATTAATAAAAATACCTTGGGTCGTCAAAACTAGAGTTTGACCTTCTCTTTACACTTTAACTTTAAAAAAAATATCAAAATACTCTTCAACTTTTTAAAAAAAATTTAAAATTTTCCTTACCACTAGTTTTGGATGGAAATATTTAATGGTTTAAAAGGGTTTCAAGAATAGCTTTTAAAATTTAAAATATATCTTTACCATTAGAATCACTTTAAAAAAAATGTTCATAAACATTTAAAGTAATCTTAAATTTTATTTTATTTTTTTTCAATTTCTAATGGTTTCGGTTTAAAACTAATGTTAAGCGTGTTTTTACTTTTTTTTTTTTTATTAAAAAATATTATTGAAACTTTTGAAGATTTAGAACAATTTAAAGATAAATTACAAACTTTAAGCGTATTTTTATTTTTAAATCACAAACCTTACGCGTATTTTTATTTTACAAATCTTACGCGTATTTTTATTTTTAAATCACAAATCTTACGCGTATTTTTATTTTTAAATCACAAACCTTAAGCATATTTTTAATTTTAAATTACAAACCTTAAGCGTATTAACGATGATCTTGTGATTCATTACTAAAATGGTAACTCTGATTTCTGTGGTGCAGCCGAGAAGATTTTTGTGTTAGAATAGATTGGTGAAATGCATAGGATTATAATAATAATCATAGCCTTGAAGCAAAGAAACAACATAGGTGCTGGCGGGCCCGGAGTGACAATATCCAACGGATAATTGCTGGCGGCAATAGAGAAGACGATAGAGAGAGAGAGAGAGAGAGAGAGAGAGAGAGAGAAAGGAGGCAAAGCTTGAATACACGTGAAGTACTGTTTTTCACTCTCTTTTTCTGTCATCTTTTTATATATATAATATATATATATAATTTTGAGGGTTTTTATTATAGACAAGGCTGACAAAATTGTATACAGAAAAAAGGTTGGCTAATGTTCAGGGTTTGGTGGAGGGTCCCAGTACAGAAAAGAAGAGAAAAGAAGGGTGAATAACGTGGCTTTGCACATAGACACTCCGACTTCCAAGTAATTTTTAAATGCTTTGCTTTCTCTGTTTTCTTTTAGGAGTGTTCTTAAAAAGATGAATCATTGATGTACTACTGCTTAGAGTATATATATATATATATATCTAGCCCAACTTCTAAAAGTCCATGAAAATTGACTTGGATCATTCATTTAATTCTCTACTTCAGATTCCTTTGGTAGAAGAGAACGAAATGTTCTTTCTAAATGTGTGGAAAATTCTTCCCAGTAAGATGTTTTAAAAATTTTGAGAGGAAGTTCAATGGAAAAAGTTCAAAGCAGACAACATTTGTTAGTGATAGACTTGGGCTTGGTCTTGGTCTTACACTATTTTTTTAGGGTCATTCATTATCTGCTAGCGATGGGCTGTTACATTATTTTTTTGGGTCATTCGTTATCTGCTAGCGATGGGCTTGAGTCTCGGCTGTTACACTATTTTTTTGGATCATTCGTTATCTGCTAGCGATGGGCTTGAGTCTCGGCTGTTACACTATTTTTTTGGGTCATTCGTTATCTGCTAGCGATGGGCTTGAGTCTCGGCTGTTACACTATTTTTTTGGGTCATTCGTTATCTGCTAGCGATGGGCTTGGGTCTCGGCTGTTACACTATTTTTTTGGGTCATTCGTTATCTGCTAGCAATCGGCTTGAGTCTCGACTGTTACACTATTTTCTTGGGTCATTTATTATCTGTTAGCGATGAGCTTGGGTCTAGATCGTTCCATTAGGTCATTTATTATCTGCTAGCGATGCGCTTGGGCCTGGGTTGTTACACTATTTTTTTTTTGGTGATTTATTATCGGCTAGCGATAGGTTTGAGCTTGGGTCGTTACACTATTTTTTTGGGTCATTCATTATCGACTAGCGATGAGTTTGGGTCTGGGCCGTTACACTATTTTTTGGGTCATTCATTCCTTTCCATTTTTTTAGATTTTTACGTTTTTTCTATAAAAAAAAAAAAAAA